TTGCCCAAAGGGCAAGTGGTAAAAATCCTTAACATCAACCCCTGCCCATGCAGTACCTCCGCGGACCCCCTAGGGGTCGCGGACCCCCTGTTAAAGACCTCTGCTCTAAAGCAAGTATTTCAGCCTGGCCCTAAAAATATATATGCAACACACTGGCCACCCCCTAAAAGTACTTAAAATTACTTTACTCTATATTTATTTATGCTAAGACAGTGCAACTTTAAGTTTGTAGATCTAATATATCAAAATGTAAAATGCTTCCAGTGTATGGATCATTTTTTACCTAGGACTGTTCTGTCAGGCAAAGTATCCTCACTGATTTTAAATGTAATTTTTTTTATTATCGGTTTCTTTCAGAGGCCGGCTGAACGTGCTGGCCAATGTCATCCGGAAAGAACTGGATCAAATCTTCTGCCAGTTCGACTCTAAGCTGGAGGCTGCTGATGAGGTTTGAACAATAAGATCAAGGGCAGACATATGTGTTTAATGGAACTATCTCCAGATAACAGTTTCTAAATATCATCACTTTAAAGCAAATATTATTATAATGGAGTTGATTTTGTAGCATTTTTGTTGCAAGCAAGCATCAATACTTTAAAAGAAAGAAAAAATAATTTTTTATTTTTGTTTAAAATATAACATATCAGAGAAAAACAAAGATACTTTTAATACCTTTTTTAATTAACAAGTTTAACAAAGTTGTGTTTCTGATATTATACTTTTCAAATTTCAGTTCAATTTTTTTGTGTGATTTTTTTTAAAAATCTTTTTTAGTTTTCATTTAGAAAATATTTCCTTTGCTTGCAACAATAATGGAACAAGCTGTACTCCATACATTATGGTACCATGGAAAATAGCACTTTGTTTATATTGTTTATGTTGTGTCTAGGTCAGAAACACCAGGAGCTTTTGGCTCATCTGGAATAGATAACTAAAGAAGGAATTTTTAGCATAAAGAAAGTTCCCTTAATATTCTATTTATTAGGGATGCACGATATTGGGATTTTGGCCGATATCCGATATGCTGATATTTTAAAACTCATGTAGCCGATAACCGATACTGATACCGATATTAAAGCTGGACAAAAATAAGTAGTCATTGAAAATAGCAGTTTTGTTATCCATTTCTGACACTTTGAAAAATAATATACTCAAATATATTTTCATATGCTGATATCAAATAGATTTTTAAAAACGCGGTATCGATCTATTTTACTTTCAAAATCTCGTGAAATTTCATCGTTCTGTTACAAACTCTCGTGATATTTTGCAAATTCTTGTGAGATTTTGTTAGTAAAATAGATCGACAGCGTCAATATATCAACATATAAAAATATGGCAAAATTTTGTGAATTTTCGGGGGATTTCGTAGCATAACGATGACATATAGCAATATTTCATTAGTAAAAGAGATTGATATGGTGTTTTTAAATGGCAATATATCAGCATATGAAGATATTGGGATATTTTAATCTATCAATATTTTTTCCCTCGTCTTTAGAAGTTTTTAAGTCTGTAAAAAAGAAGTTTTTGAGGAAGAAGAAGTAGTATTTTTTTTTTTTTTTAAGACTTTAGAAACTCAGAAGCTGATCAAATATCGGGTTAAATATCGGTGGGGTGGCCGATGTCCGATATTCAGTTTTAAGGCCGATACAGGCCGATACCGATAGGGGGCCGATTATATCGTGCATCCCTAGTATTTATTATGATTTTCTCTTTTAAACCAGTAAATAGAACCATGTGCTGTAACTGTTTGCTGTCTGTGTTTAGGGCTCAGGAGATGTGAAATATCATTTAGGTATGTATCACCGGAGGATGAACCGAGTCAGTGACCGGTTCATCACCCTGTCGCTCATGGCCAACCCATCCCATCTGGAGGCTGTGGACCCGGTGGTGCAGGGGAAGACCAAAGCTGAGCAGTTTTACTCTGGAGACACCGATGGGAAGCGGGTTGGTGAACTCAGGAGTCAAAGAAATTTTTTTTTCCCTGATAATAGACAGGCTTAAAATCTGAAACTCTTTTCAGGTGATGTCTATTCTGCTCCATGGGGATGCCGCATTTGCAGGCCAGGGAATTGTGTACGAGACGTTCCACCTATCGGACCTGCCGTCCTACACCACCCATGGGACCATCCATGTGGTGGTCAACAATCAGGTATTTGCTTTTAATTTGAATGAGGTAGAGACTTGCACACATCAGCGAAAACTAGAGCCCGACCAATATGAGATTCTGGAGGATGAGAACGATATACCTAAGTTGCAGAAGCGTTTAATCTCATTCACAGCATCATCAGGTGCTATTAATGTTTTTGGCTTAGCAGCCGGTTTGTTATGAGGCTAAATTTATCTTTGGCTAAATGTTGTCATACCTTTGTCTGTTGTCTGGAAACAGGTTGTTTCCTTCAAAGTCGTCTTGCAAGGCAGCAAACCCGTTTTTTAGTGGAATACCTTTATTCTCAGTAATCTCAGTGGGTTCTTACTTATCTTTGTTTTGGAAACACAGCTTTTTGCACCTGTTGGAGTAGAAGATGTGTTTCTCTGAAGTCATGGCCAAGTTTTGTCATCTAAATGAGGCGTTTGCCCTGTCGGGTGTCTTTTCAGATCTGGGTAGGATTGTTTTTCCTTTGGCAGCTACTGGCCTGGTTATTGTCTTAGTGTTTTGAGACACCGGCAGGGTCGAGTGACAAGGTCGTATCATTTCCGTAACCATTATTTACTTCCACACTCACTTCCAGTCGGTTAATCTTAGTTTCCATGACAGCCGTCCTCTGTAGAACCTTGTTGAAGTCACATGCGGTGAAGGAAGGCGTCTAGTTCTGATGTGGACTTGTCCTTCTCTGGGATGTGATTAAAATAACCCAAAAATGTTTCTAAAAAAGTTCCATCTAGAGAATGCTTGAAAAAAAGAGTCTTGTCAAGCTTTATGTTGCTTTGGCTAAGAGAGAAAAAGGTTAAAGTAAGAAAAGTATTAGGAAGCGGGGAGTGAGGATGAGATGCATCTGGGCAGGCAGAGAGGTGGGAGAGAAGAAAAGTATATCCAGAGGCCTCGGCGCGACCATCACAGGTTCAATCCCTCCATCCCAATTTTCTGTTCGACTACATTTGAAAAGTACAGAAAAATAAAGGCTAGTTACAGTACTGGCAATGCTATATTCCCCTCCTTTGTAAAAAAAACTAAACAAATAATAGATCCAAAGGCCTGTTGACTGTTCATGTTCTGTTGCTATGTTCATATAGCCACAAATCTGTTATTTATTGCCAGATTTAACCTGACAAATAAAATAATATAATACAAGAATTGCAATTATTATTATAATCTATAATTGTAATTATCATATAAAATGGTTCCTTAAAGTAGATCTAAAGCCCCTGTCACACCTTGATGATTTAGACCAGCCTGATGTACGAAAAATCTGGCAAAAATTCTGGCATACGTTGGATAAGTTATGGGTACATTAAGTTATGAATACGCTGGAACACGCTGGAAAATTCTTGGCATGCTCAAAATTTGTCTTCGTATGCCATATGTGGGCCATAAGTTAGGTAAGTTATGTGATCGTTGAGTGTAAGTTACTCATAAGTCATGGCGTCTAGCTTATCTGAAACCTATGAGTAACTTGTGCATAACTTATGTGTAACTTATCAAGAACTTCTCTCCAACGCATGTCAACGTATTTGCTGTGTTCCAGACAAGCGCTGAACATGTCTCTAACTTCCAGCTACTGTATAATGGCGTATCGGCAGCGTTTTGGTATAAAGACCAACAAACTTCGTAGCAGACTGGACGCTGAATCTGCTGCAACTCCAAACCTTCTTTCTTTTTCTTTTTGTTCTTTTTTTTTTGAGCTGTGGGTAAACAGCGGCTAGGTTAAGACCGCGATCAAAGTAATCTTTTTATGCAGGCCGAACTCCTCTGGGTTGCATAAAAGGGGAGCAGCTTTAACTGATGCTTCGTAATGCCCATGAAATAATGCTTCTGCATCGTTTAATGAGCATTATGCTGTAATGCATTATTTATAAGTTAGGCTGTCGTTGGACATAAGTTCTGGACTCGTTATGAATACTTTATGTATACGCCCAAAATTGAAAAAATAAATAGAAAGTTCAGCGTATGCCAATGTTTTAGGGGATTCTGGGACGGCGAGTATACGCTTAAAGTGTGACCAGGCCCTAACCTTCTCATGAAGCTAATCGTACTGGATAGGCCGTGCTAGTGTTTTAACACTTTAGGGTGTTTATGTCTTACCTAGTCTCTAACATTATTTTACTGTTTTTTTTTTTGTTTGTTTGTTTGTTTTTTTTACAGTGTCCTGTCTGGCAATGTGGCAATAAGAATAATTGTCTTGATGCCAAAAAGAGCCCAACAGATTTTACTTTCTCAAGTGGAGCAATATGGCAATTGCCATATTGCTCCACTTGTTTCATGCATATAAATTGCTTTATTATAATTATGCAGGGAGTTTTACAGTCCATATGGACACTGCAATGTAAATAGAGCAGAAAAACAGAAAAGAAAGAAAAAATAAAAAGAAAAGATGAAAGAAAATAGAAAGGAGACAATGACAAAACATTTTCAGTCTGCTTCATCACCTGTAACGAGATGAAAAAGAACAGCACAACCGAAAGACATGGTACGAGACATACAATAAAGCAACACCTTGAAACTATCGCTAAAGTAGTATTATTTAGTCTGACATGTACTCTGTGTTACCTGAAGTGTGGGCTTTCTGTATGGAAGTGAATCTCTGAGTACCTGGAGCCAAGCACCTGTAGTTGTTTGTGAGGGTGAACTTGTGCATGTAAAGTTTATCCATAGAAAAAATGCTCAATAGTGGTTGTGAAGAACTGAAGAGGCGCACCCCCCAGCGCCGGGAGACCCAAAGCCCCAGGCGCCCAAAGGGACCCCAAGAGCGAAGGCACCAAGGAGGGGCCAGCCCCGGAAATCAGACCCCCACCAAGGGAGGAGGAGAGGCAGCCCCGAGGAAGCCCCCCCCAGCCGCCACCATGCCGGCGCCCCGGGGGAGCCGCGGGGACGAGTCCGCGGGCTCCGCCGGCATTATTTTACTTTTTGATGGCAGCTCTTTGTTGTTTTTCCGCTTCCACTCTATTCCTCCTGGTTCCTGACCATCTCTCGTAACTGTAAGGGAATGCTTCTCTGTCTGTCCGGTTGAAACAGAAACAGAACGGAGGATTTGTGGGGTGTGTCTGTTGTTCTCACTTATCACTACTGCTCTGTCTGTAGGAGAATTTAGTAAGGTGAAGTGAAATGCAAAAATTACAGTTTTTAAACAAAATTGGCCAAAACAGAGCAACTGGTAACACTCCATCAGAAACCGCTGAGCTGGCCTGGTCAGGGCAGCAGAAAATAACCCATCTCTCCCGATAACATGTCCGCACTGGAATCGGCCACAATCAAAAAAACTCCATACGATGAAACATGATAAGTTTATGTTGAGTTTAGGTTTTGAACGTCAAACTTGCAGCCACATGAGATCACCTGTTGGCCCTTTGTGATGCATGCAGATTGGATTCACCACAGATCCCAGGATGGCCCGCTCATCCCCATACCCTACAGATGTGGCCCGAGTCGTAAACGCACCCATCTTCCACGTCAACGCAGACGACCCAGAGGCTGTGATGTTTGTGTGCAACGTAGCGGCAGAGTGGAGGAACACCTTCCACAAGGACGTCGTCGTAGATCTGGTATAGTTTATTAATAAATAATTTATTCTCAAGTCCATAAGTTGGATCAACAAATTGATCCAACTTATTCATCAACTAATACGTTTTTAATAAGCTGCAATTATTTTTTACAAGGAACTCAGTTTTTGTCTTGTATCAAAGCGATCGTAGCATTAACTTTAGGAGCTGAATAGTTTTTTGAAAATATGATGCATTTAAAAAAAGAGTTATTACACCATTATGCATTATATAATTTATTTTGCTACCTATATTAGATACCGACTGAATGAACACAAATATATTTCACATTATTACATTAATTTATAAGATATAACAAAACAGAAAAGATTACTGAAGGAAAACTAGATAAATAAAATATGTGTAACATTTATGATGTCCAATGTACAGTGATGTAAACCCAGAACTGCTGGAAGTCATTTTGAACAGTGAGTTTTGGTACAAAAGACCTAGGAGCCTATTGAAAATACAATAAAGTAATAGATAAAGTAAATAGATTGCGATGCACTACTTTATCATCATATACACTTTTCATTGCACGCAACCAGGGTCTGTAACACAGCTGACATCATCAGTTCTCAGGTGAAAATGTGTGCTTTTAATTAAACTTCACAATAACACCATGACATGGATCCAGGCTCAAAATGAGCTCCTTGATATGTGCTTTAGAATGGCTTAGTCTCCATTCAAACCCAGGTTTAAAGCCTTGCAGGGCAGCATAAAGCCCACTGCCAACATTAAGACAGAAAAAAGGAAGAAAAAAATAACAGTCAGTTCAGGTGATTTATTAAAAAAAAAAAGTCAGGAAATTGTCTATATACCAAACTGAAAGATTGTTCGCTACTTCAAAAACAATTAAGATTTCAAAATGGAAAAACATTCAATTTTTTTTATATTTTTTATTTAAAAAGTCAATGTATAACATGGATGCATAAAAATCTCCATTTTATTTCAGTATTAAAAGCTTTAAAGTAACAGATTATAATAAAAAATGTCTCCGGACCTTTACTGGTTGATGATTTTCTTTATTCGGACCCCGCTGGTTTTTAATTGGTGACCCCTGAACTAGGTCATGTGTAAAACTATCATTTAATGACAGGATGTGTCGCTCTGACATACTGTCAGTGTTTTCCACGTTAAACTGGATGCTAGCTGTGATACAGCCCCCTGTTTCTAATGTGACCCAGTATTCAATGCTGGGAGAAACTGTGCTGCAAGAAGAGGCTTGGTGGTTAAATGGATGCTATTTTGGTGCCATCTAGTGGATGGCAGCAACATTACAACAGTTAATTACTGTAAATTTTTTTTATATATAATTTTTAAGTAACCATTATTTGATAAGTAATTATGACATAATTTTTTTGCATCCTTAGTATGTATGAATTATAAAACAATATCCTTTTTTGTTGAAATCAAAAATGTTTTATTAGCCATGAAAGAGACAAACTGTATAAATTCTCAGTGTATATAAAAGAAAATGTGGAATATTTGTAAACAATAATATACATATTTTACTTTTTTAATGTGTTCCTGCATCAGAAACCTAAATATTCCTAACTAATTAAATACATTTTTTGACATTTTTTCCGTATTTCTTGCACATATGAGCAACTCGGGATGTTTCCACATTAACTTAAACATGAGGTTTTATATGTTATGTACCGGGGCCATTGTGTCATTAAATGTTTGGATTGCAGGTTTGTTACAGGCGCAACGGCCACAATGAAATGGACGAGCCAATGTTCACCCAGCCACTCATGTACAAGCAGATAAAAAAGCAGAAAGGAGTGTTGCAGAAGTTTGCAGAAAAACTCATTGCTGAAGGAGTTGTCACCATACAACACTATGAGGTAATTCACCAACATCTGATGTAGAGCATTTGATTTAATTTTTATTTATCCCTTAAACACTGAATTTCAATCCATAAGATTTAATTATATTTTGAGATACCACAAAATCTCACACATTTTCCTTTATGAAATTCAAACCTGTGTCTCTCAGGAGGAAATAGCTCGATATGACAAAATCTGTGAAGAGGCTTATGCTCAGTCCAAAGATGAGAAGATCCTCCACATCAAACACTGGCTGGACTCTCCTTGGCCAGGTAACTCCTT